GAATCTGCGGGGTTCGATAAGGATTCTATTCTGCAGGAAGTGTTATGAGTGTTCTTTTCTTGCGGCCAAGTTTCAAAGTCAGGTCGGTGATGCGCAGGATGAAGTGCCACCTCCGGTGGATCCAAGACGTCGCATGTTCACCCGTCTTGATAAGGACAAGTTTATCCAGCAGTGCAAAACAATCCACACAAAGAAGAACTCGAAGAAAAACACTGTCGAGTCCGGATGGTTCTCAAAGGAGGATATGGTGAAAATTCTTCATTGGAATGCGCTCTTTGGATGCACATTGACTGGCTCCCATTCATGTACAACAAAATTCGCATGGTAAACCAACATGCTCTTGCATTGGTTTGGGTAAGGAAGAAGGTGGAGGGAGCTATCAAGAGCTGCCGGAATAATCCTGGGGCATTGGTCAGGCCAGAACTGCAGTTCTTGTTTCTTTTCCATGGGTTCCATTTTCTACTCGGGGAAATGTGCAACATGTCCATCACAATTTGAGACTTCTCCCAAGTGGCAGGAGAAACAAATACTCCGGAGAAGAAGAATTCAACGTGGAGGTGCGAGAGAACGCCAGCCGTGAACAGGAAGAGACCAATGAGGAGCAAAGGATCAGGACTGCAGAGGACTGTCTCTGAAGCCATTCGTGACCACTCAAACCTGAATTGCATAGTACGGTGTGCAATATACACAGTATGTAAAATATATTGTATGAAGTGCATGGCAGGACACAGGTGATCTGTCTGCGCCCGATATGTCTGGCATCGCCCGCTTGAATGATGCTGACATGGCACGAGAAGCACCTGAACACCAAGCCACTTCTGAGGTGTCAATGAGCTTGGCATTTGAGATCTACTGCAATTGCTTTGGTTTAGAATGTGAACCGCTGATGAGTTTTGATTAACTGTTTACTGGTTGACACTGGCAGGCGCTCCAAGCGAAGGAAGTCTTCCGGCGTTTCTCTGACAGCATCCTGTCGAAGTGTGCCAAGATCAGATCTCTCATGTCCGATCTGAAGAAGAACTATGCTGGTGACAACCTTGCCCAGAAGTAGCATGTTTGCACATGCGTTTTACCCACGCACCCTTCACTTCTACCCAGCCTGTTGTCTGGTTGTCCACGCTTGCGTCATAGCAAGACGCTGCATACCAGCTCCGATCCTTAGGTCAGTGGGTGCATTGGAGGCAGACCTACAACTATTGGACGGTGAGTACAACAAGTGCTCGGATATGATGGCGAGGGGTGAGCAAAACGACTTTGATCAAGCGTGGCTTGCACCAATTAATATACTATTATGCCTAGCTGCTCTCAAACCATCCCAGGTTGAACATTTATATTGTATATAGTGTCTTTTCAATTGCAGTATGTGAGGTGGCGGGCAGCTGGAGACAAGCTCATGAAGGAGTCAACCTTTGTGTGCCCTGACTGCAGCTCGAAGGTCGTCCAAAGCAACAAAGTCACTACGTAGTGAACAAAGAAAACTCTGCAGCAGTGGGGATATGATACCAACTCCTTTTAAGTTCTGCTTGCAAGCTTTCAAAGCAAAGAGTCAAGTCAGCTCGTGATAGATCGAGAAATGCCACTGCAGGTGCACCAAAGTCGCCCAGAATGAAGCGAAGATCCGGAGCTCTCCTTAAACAAGTTGGTTGGGTGGTGATGTTAGCTTGCCTTTTTAGATCTCCATGTGCTATGGCACGCTTTTCAGGAACGCAAAACGCCACTTTACCAAAGTCGTGAAAGAGGAGACTGCTGCCTGAATGCTGATGCACATGATGTGTGAAAGCACATGCCGTGGGATTGTGTGATAACACATGCCCATGTGTGTTTGCAGGTCTTTGGCCACTGCGTCTTGAACTTTTGATGTTTTCTCCACTCAACACTCCATGGGATAGAAAGGCTTGTGTTATAAAGCCCGCTCTGTCTTGTGGCCAAATGTGACAAATTGGGGTACTGGATGCAAGCTGAAAGTCAACATCCGCCATACTTCCTGGGGAAAAAGAACGAGGTCATTTGCACAGCAAGACCCCCTCCTCACGACCGTTCCACCAAATGCCCAAGATTATGCTAAGAAGTCTCCAGCCAGGTCCTGGACGCACGGCCCAATGCTTCGCGAAGAACATCGGGGAGGGAGCCAATGCCTTAGATGAGAGCCCAGGTAGGCTCCCCAAGAGGCAGTACAGGGTTGACCAGGTGTGCCCACACCACCCCTCAATTTGCATTCAGGATGCCATCGCCCTCAAATTCCTTCACGAAGGGAGCAGCCACATAGCGCCGCAGCGTTAGGCAGAAGGTTCTGAAATTCAGTTGCGCTTTACTTCTTGCAACCTGTTGAAGACATTGCTGAAGGGTACCCTGTCAAAAAAATATCAAGCACCATACTCACGACTCTTCCAATTGCGTTCAGTGTATTATTTTTCATGTTGGTGGGTCCATTGCTGAGTGGATACTGAACTTTCCTGGGAAACGTGCGGCTAAGGTGATGGTAAGTGTCATGTTTTTGGTGCTGTTGGGGCTGAAGTTCTTATATAGATCGAGGTATACAGCTCTAGGCACTTTCAGCTTTCTGAGCACTCTCCAAAGGGTTCAAGGATTCCACCCAGAACACCCATTTCTGAACTATGCGCTTCATCGTCAACGTGCCGACTTCGAGCCTCCATGTAAGCTGCCATCCGACGGATGGATTGTCATCCCATGAAGTTGTGCACACAATCTAATATTCGAGGTAGATTAAACCTATTGTCCGGAAAACGTGACACGTATGATGTCCAAGACAGCCCCGGAAAAATCCAAGTGAAGTGACACTACCTCTGACGATAGCGGTTTCCTTACTGATCAAATAGATAGGCTAAATGTTAGTAAAACTTTTGGCCACCACAACACAAGTTTTCATGTAAATCGAGGGGGTGTATACTGAATAGATTCGACCCCGAGTGTTCTGTGGGCAGTGTGCGCCGAGGCCAGCAGCTCTTCCCAGATCCGGACTGCAAGAGCGGTCACTGAGGAGTTTGGTGAGGAAGCTGCCAGCAAGTCTGGTGTCATTTCATGGGCAAAGATTGCCCTGAGTAATTCAGAGAGGGATGTGCAACGTGTTCTTTCCAAGCAGGGAAGCAAACTACCAATTCCCATGAGCACCCTGACGGCAGAAGGGGTTGAGATCCCATGGCTTGCTCCAACAAGTTGGATGGGGTACATTGTTGATCAGGGCCTGTGGTACAGACTGGCAGGACTGGAGTTTCATGAGAAGCACTTGGCACCACATGTATGGTCCCAGTTTTGGCAGAATTTTAGAGCTCTTCAACCTCATTTCTCCTTGTTTGACATGGAGGGGTTTGACCCGCGACGCACGTGCGCCTGCTTTCTTCATGGAGATGAAGGACGGACCCTGAAAAAGAATGGCATCATGGTGACATCATTGCAGTCATGCTTGGGGACAGGGTTTGATGAGCAAAGGCCATCAAGCCGTGGAACCAAGCGTAGTCTCGATGGTGATGTCAAACTTCGTGTGAACTACAAAGGGCACTCTTTCACGAACCGGTTCGTCACTTCAGCCATTCCAAAGTCTCACTATGAGACAAACCCGAAGGTATTCCATTCTGCAATGGATCACCTCTGCCAGGATCTACAGCAGCTCTTGAGTGAAGGTGTCCGAGATCCTCTAACCCAGGAGGTGTTCTATGTGGCGGTAATTGGAGTGAAAGGAGATTGGCCATATCTCCAAAAGATGGGCAACCTGAATCGTGCGTTCAACACTGGAGCTAAGGGCGGCCAAGATGGTGAGAAGTCACGAGGGATCTGCCACTTGTGCCTTGCAGGGCAGAAGTTGTTTCCAGCTGAGGAAATCAATACTTTTCAACCAGCGTGGCGTGTGACAGTTGGTGTTTCTTGTCCTTGGGACAGGGTTCCTTCAGTGGTGCGGACTCTCCCTCACGACCACTCCAATCCGGCGTCCTTTTTTATGCCGGACCTGTGGCACGCATTCCACCTGGGAGTTGGAAAGAGCTTTGTGAGTAGTGCAGTGCAGCTGGCCTTGCCTTTCATTGCTGCTGCAAACCCTCACTACCGTGATTTCTGCAAAAAGCACCGCAGGCCACCAATTGTTTCAAGAATCACAGGCACTCTGGTTTCATACCGCGACAAGACTGGAGCAGTTGGGGCATGGAGCAAAGGCTCCGTAACTACCACGATGATGCTTTGGGTGCCCGCTCTTTTTTCAGATTTGCCACATGACCCACTTCTTGCTTTGGCGGCAGAAGGAGCTCAGAAAGCAAACGATATGTTTGCATTCCTCTACCGTGCGCCAGCGTTCTTGAGCAAGGAAGAAGCCATGAGTGTTTCGAGCTTGGGCGCAGATTTTTGAGAGTTTATGACACCCTGGCAAAGACATGCTTTAGAAGCCAGAAACCTTTTTTGTTTCCAATGTATCCAAAGCTGCACTTTGTTCACCACCATGTGATTCGGTTGGCCTCAGACGCGAAGCGGGTGGGCTTTGCGCTGTCACCTATGGTGACGGCATGCCAGCAGGACGAAGACAGCATCGGTCGCACATCGCGACTCAGCAGAAGGGTCAGCATAAAGCTGACCATGAAAAGAACGTTGGAAAGGTACCTTACTTGTGCCCATACATGTTGGGTGGAGGCAGGCATTCTGTGTCGCTGATCGCAGGAAAAGGGGATGCGGGCTGGAGTCATGAGGGATCTATGAACATTGTGGCAATACACAACAGCATGAATACCTGGCTTTTTGTTGAATACTTGGTTTTTTGAGTTGATGGTAGCCAAAAGTAGATAACACAAAAAAAATGTAGGTAGTGGAAGGGCTAGGTATATATGCCTGGGAAAGTAGATCGTCTTCGACCATAATTGTACACCATTTGCACTTGCTATTATATATGCTGGGAGCCAAAGTGATGCAGGGAGCCCAAGTACCGAGAAGTCACCAACCAGGTCATCATTCCGAGTCCTCGAGTGCCATTGACACCCGGTTCGTCCGTCGAAACAGAAGAGGCAGCTGAAGAGACCCTCACTGCACTGCTGCAAGAGGAGGAGCTGAGGAGGTGTGGAATTCGACCGAGCATCGGTGGAAACAGGAAACATCCCTCTTTCCAGCGACAGGATGCGCCCATCGGACAGGATCCAGGGATACCCCTGAAAGATGGAAGAAGGACTCGAAAGGACTCGAAAAAATATGAAAAGAGTGAAGGGAATGAACATGAATGAACAGTTGCTGACTTGGGGCAGAATGACTCTCGACTTTGCGTCCATGTGACCCAACTGAGGCAACTGGGAATGTGTGGAAGACTTCCTTTGATTGGAGTTCGGTAAGGGCTACGCGCACTTCATGACTTCATGTGAACAATCCAGAAACAAAAGGAAGCAGAGATTTGCTAGCTGCTAGGTGCATTTCTGTGCTAGGTTTCTCGATTTGCTCCAAGTTGGTTGTTTTTTGGCTTCTCCTGGCCCATCTCAGACTCCAAGACGATGTTCCTGATATCCACCGCATCCCAGGGCTCCGAAGCTCCTCAAGCCCACGCCGAAGCCCGCGCCGAAGCCTCGCGGCGCGGACGCGGACGACGCCGAAGCCCACGGCGACGGCGACGGCACGGGCGCGGTGAAGCGTGAAGCGCCAGAGCCGCCAAAGGCGGAGGAGTTGAGTCGAGGCCGGGGAAGCAGCGACGCGCACTGAGTGAGGAGGTGTCACCTGAGACATGGGATGTTAAAGTGAGAGGTTACCGGGACAAGGACAATGGCCCTTGTCAGGCCTGGCGGCGAAGGATAGAAACTGGCAGAATGCGGACCCTTCTTGGTCTTGGAGTTTCTGACTGTCGTTTTTGATTTTTGACACTTGCCAACTATATGGCCCATTAGTCCCTCAAAACTGTGACTCAGTAGGTATTCATGCAGAGAGAGGTTATTTGATCACTTTTTTCCCAGTTTGTTTGGTGGTTTGAGATGCTTTGAGGGTGCCCTCCCAAACTAACCCTCCCAAAAATGGGTGGTAGGCAAAAGCCTTGGCCTTGGCAAGCCTTGGCATGTCTCCAGGAAAAGCCTTGTTGAACGTCCCGGGCCTGAAGCAGCGGCCTCAGTTGGGTCATTTGGGTCGCCTTTTCTTCTGCGTCCTGCGATGTTGCTAGATCCGACCCCTAAGGTTTTGGACCATGACCACAAAGTGTGATATAATGAATACACACATATATATATATACATATACTTTCCGTTTTTGTTAATGTTTATTTTCTGAATTCCGATATTGAAGACATATGATCGTTACACCTTCATTTGCCATGCCTTCCCTGCAGACGTTGCTCATCCAAAGTCAATTGGGTCATGTGTTAGTTACCATTCCCACTGCTCGTCAGTTCCACCACCACAGTATTGCAGAAAGTCTTTCTGTTGGATGTGGTGTGTTTTGATTTTCCTTGGTGTGGTGTATTTTGTCATGACTTGGCCAACCGCAATCCGCAGCCAACGACCACCAAACGAGCTGAAACATGCTGAAGCGTTTAGGCATGTCGCGTCACGCAGGAGAATGCAACTGCGAGTGCTCGATAAAGTGGGCCCGGAGGCCCCAGTGGTCTCAGATCACGGAGAAGAGAGAGAGGGAGAGAGAGAGACACACACTCTGACATTGGTTTTCAGTGACTCAGTTACCACGTTGAGAA